CTTTTAAATCTCATGGGAAGGGGGAGAAAATATAAGGATAAGGAGGGTCTATTCTACATCTACGAGATAACTTTCTCCAACATCTACAACTAACAAGATTTCTGAAGACAGCTTAAATTAAATTACATTCTTTCTAGAACACTATTGACTCCAAAGTGGATCAAGTATTATTTGTGGCTTCATTGAATCCAAATACAATTAGGGTTAAAAATATTCACTTCTAGTATAATCTTAAGAAGTCATCTTAAACAAGTAAATTATTTCAAAGTTAATTAGGTAATGGTGCCAATGAAAAAACTGAAGAGAATAAGATTTCAAAAAATGTTTATGCAAAACAGATATACACTAAGGAAAAACTGCATATAAAATATATACATTTTAAATAATTATAAAAACTTATAATACATAAAAATTCTAAATATTAAAAGTTTTAGTATGCATTATTTTAATTTTAAAACATCATCATCATCATGTTTGAAAGATAAATAAAAATAATTTGCTTGATTACTACTTATTGCTAATAAGAATAAATTATTTTGAATTGCATATTTGTTAATAAACTAATACTTTTTCATGATAACTATATATTTTCAATTTAACTATAAGCTTATAAACATGTTTCAGAAAGTTTGTAATAGAAAAGCATTACATCTTAATACATCACCATAGATTACAGTATTACATTACAGACAACAATACATTAAATTAATAAGTATTTTCATTATAAGATTAATAATTAAAGTTTAAAAAAGTATGTTTCTTACTAAATGTTCATCAACAGATGTTTTCTGTGAATGTTTAGTATTTTCTTTATCTTTGGCATTTTTCTTTTCTTTGCTGGCAATCTTAGATACACCAGTAGAGGCTTTGGACTCTTTCATTATCTGTAAAATAAAATACATAATATCATATTTTGGTGGTCAACAATGCAATTTTTATCTTAGCATTTTGTAAGAAGTCTCAAAAATTGAGAATACATCACAGTGTCAAGAGAATAAAGAGAATTTCAAAATTTCTATCTCATGTACTGATCAAATTATAAAGTTTGTAATTTAGAAATGGATTCTATCAAGTTATTAATTTTTATTTGATAAAGTATGAAAAAACAATAAAATCTCATAAAATGAAAGTAGTAAATTTGATGATTAAATATATAGTAGAAAGAAAAGATAACAAATCTAAACTAAGAGTCATATTTGAGAGAGATTTTTAATACAACTAGTCTACTGCAAAGTTGAACTGCATTGCATATCACTTCATCACTTACTCTTCTTCATGCTATCTAGAACAAGTTTTATGACCCATTACAAGAATCTTGCATTAAAGTAGAAACCTCCATTACTGTGATTGAATAATAAGTTATATTTAATTAATCACATTGAAAAGAAAAGTTATCACATCCTGCAGAACATGCAACTCCCTTAATGACACCATCAAAATATTGACAGTTGCTTCATTTTTACTATATATTACAATTTCAATCTTTGATATAAAATTAAAGTACACACAAAAAAAATTTAAATATGTTAACATAACTTATTTATTTATTTATCACACATAAATTTGGCTAATATAAACATATTTTAACAGAAAATTAGAGGTAATTCAAATTTCAATTGCAATTAAATACATCAGTAATATTTACACATGCTTTTATTTAAACCAGTGATGGAATATTTTAAATAAAACAAATCATTTTTAATTAAATTATTTTTCTTAAAATTTTATTTCTAGAAACAATTTTTTTGGGGAGTATTTATATTTAATATAATATGCAATTTATCCATTTATTTTAGCATATCTTATTACGTTAAAGAAATATAATAAATTAAGTATTACTTTTAAACTTAATTTTTTCTAATAAAATATTAATTTTTTATTGCTATATTTATAGAAGAATTAATAAATTAAAATATTTGTTTTTAAACAAGAACTTTGAACTGTATTTTTATATATAATTAAAATATTGTAATGTTTACACTTCACTTGAATTGCATAATATATTAAATGTTTTCAACTTATCAAGATTTATAAATGCTGATTAGATATCTTTAACCTCATTTTAGATATAAATTAATAGATAAAGTTTACAAAATAAGGTTTAATATAAGATTTTCATTTAAAATTTTTTATCCACTTTAAATAATCATAAATTTTCAATTACTATTATTATATTTAATTTTTTCAATTTTAAATTATGTTATTTAAAATTTTTTTCATTTTGTTTTAGGAAAAAACAGTAATATTTATCAACAATTAGCATGTAAGTATACAAATAACATAATAAATTAAATGTAAATTATAAAATTTCTTATGTCTTTTTTCACACATATCTTGATTTGTTATATTAGAATTTGGAGAAGTAAATATTTTGTGTGTTATTCACAATTTTTTATATTTCCAAATAATGCAATCTAATTGTCTGTAAAATAAATTACCTAAAAATAACAACTATTAAAAGTAAAGGTTAATGTACAATTCTAATTTAATAGCTTAATACTAATTTAAAAATTATGTAATTTATTGATTAACATTAAATTAATTTTAAACCATAGGCCTATAATAATATGAAGGCATAATAATCTGAAGATATATAATAAAAATTGTTTTATTTAATAATATTAAATTTACTTAAAAGTGCTTTATCATCATCAATCAAAGCATATGTCATTTTAAAAAAAACTGTTGCTTTTTTAATATAACTTTTATTATGGAAAATTTGTTATTAATTGGTTTCCTTAACAATAAAAAATAAATGTTTAAAATAAGTATATAGTTTAAAATAATTTCTTACAAAACTAAAATATAATCACATCATTTTAAGTTTATTTCTGTTTTTCTAAGCTTTGTTATATTAAATCATTTGAATTTAAGTTAATAATAATAATAATAATCTGTAAAACCTCAACTACATGCTCAAACAAGTAAGTACAGTACATATATATATGTACTGTACTTACTTGTTTGAGCATGTAGTTGAGGTTTTACAGATTATTATTATTATTATTAACTTAAATTCAAATGATTTAATATAACAAAGCTTAGAAAAACAGAAATAAACTTAAAATGATGTGATTATATTTTAGTTTTGTAAGAAATTATTTTAAACTATATACTTATTTTAAACATTTATTTTTTATTGTTAAGGAAACCAATTAATAACAAATTTTCCATAATAAAAGTTATATTAAAAAAGCAACAGTTTTTTTTAAAATGACATATGCTTTGATTGATGATGATAAAGCACTTTTAAGTAAATTTAATATTATTAAATAAAACAATTTTTATTATATATCTTCAGATTATTATGCCTTCATATTATTATAGGCCTATGGTTTAAAATTAATTTAATGTTAATCAATAAATTACATAATTTTTAAATTAGTATTAAGCTATTAAATTAGAATTGTACATTAACCTTTACTTTTAATAGTTGTTATTTTTAGGTAATTTATTTTACAGACAATTAGATTGCATTATTTGGAAATATAAAAAATTGTGAATAACACACAAAATATTTACTTCTCCAAATTCTAATATAACAAATCAAGATATGTGTGAAAAAAGACATAAGAAATTTTATAATTTACATTTAATTTATTATGTTATTTGTATACTTACATGCTAATTGTTGATAAATATTACTGTTTTTTCCTAAAACAAAATGAAAAAAATTTTAAATAACATAATTTAAAATTGAAAAAATTAAATATAATAATAGTAATTGAAAATTTATGATTATTTAAAGTGGATAAAAAATTTTAAATGAAAATCTTATATTAAACCTTATTTTGTAAACTTTATCTATTAATTTATATCTAAAATGAGGTTAAAGATATCTAATCAGCATTTATAAATCTTGATAAGTTGAAAACATTTAATATATTATGCAATTCAAGTGAAGTGTAAACATTACAATATTTTAATTATATATAAAAATACAGTTCAAAGTTCTTGTTTAAAAACAAATATTTTAATTTATTAATTCTTCTATAAATATAGCAATAAAAAATTAATATTTTATTAGAAAAAATTAAGTTTAAAAGTAATACTTAATTTATTATATTTCTTTAACGTAATAAGATATGCTAAAATAAATGGATAAATTGCATATTATATTAAATATAAATACTCCCCAAAAAAATTGTTTCTAGAAATAAAATTTTAAGAAAAATAATTTAATTAAAAATGATTTGTTTTATTTAAAATATTCCATCACTGGTTTAAATAAAAGCATGTGTAAATATTACTGATGTATTTAATTGCAATTGAAATTTGAATTACCTCTAATTTTCTGTTAAAATATGTTTATATTAGCCAAATTTATGTGTGATAAATAAATAAATAAGTTATGTTAACATAATTAAATTTTTTTTGTGTGTACTTTAATTTTATATCAAAGATTGAAATTGTAATATATAGTAAAAATGAAGCAACTGTCAATATTTTGATGGTGTCATTAAGGGAGTTGCATGTTCTGCAGGATGTGATAACTTTTCTTTTCAATGTGATTAATTAAATATAACTTATTATTCAATCACAGTAATGGAGGTTTCTACTTTAATGCAAGATTCTTGTAATGGGTCATAAAACTTGTTCTAGATAGCGTGAAGAAGAGTAAGTGATGAAGTGATATGCAATGCAGTTCAACTTTGCAGTAGACTAGTTGTATTAAAAATCTCTCTCAAATATGACTCTTAGTTTAGATTTGTTATCTTTTCTTTCTACTATATATTTAATCATCAAATTTACTACTTTCATTTTATGAGATTTTATTGTTTTTTCATACTTTATCAAATAAAAATTAATAACTTGATAGAATCCATTTCTAAATTACAAACTTTATAATTTGATCAGTACATGAGATAGAAATTTTGAAATTCTCTTTATTCTCTTGACACTGTGATGTATTCTCAATTTTTGAGACTTCTTACAAAATGCTAAGATAAAAATTGCATTGTTGACCACCAAAATATGATATTATGTATTTTATTTTACAGATAATGAAAGAGTCCAAAGCCTCTACTGGTGTATCTAAGATTGCCAGCAAAGAAAAGAAAAATGCCAAAGATAAAGAAAATACTAAACATTCACAGAAAACATCTGTTGATGAACATTTAGTAAGAAACATACTTTTTTAAACTTTAATTATTAATCTTATAATGAAAATACTTATTAATTTAATGTATTGTTGTCTGTAATGTAATACTGTAATCTATGGTGATGTATTAAGATGTAATGCTTTTCTATTACAAACTTTCTGAAACATGTTTATAAGCTTATAGTTAAATTGAAAATATATAGTTATCATGAAAAAGTATTAGTTTATTAACAAATATGCAATTCAAAATAATTTATTCTTATTAGCAATAAGTAGTAATCAAGCAAATTATTTTTATTTATCTTTCAAACATGATGATGATGATGTTTTAAAATTAAAATAATGCATACTAAAACTTTTAATATTTAGAATTTTTATGTATTATAAGTTTTTATAATTATTTAAAATGTATATATTTTATATGCAGTTTTTCCTTAGTGTATATCTGTTTTGCATAAACATTTTTTGAAATCTTATTCTCTTCAGTTTTTTCATTGGCACCATTACCTAATTAACTTTGAAATAATTTACTTGTTTAAGATGACTTCTTAAGATTATACTAGAAGTGAATATTTTTAACCCTAATTGTATTTGGATTCAATGAAGCCACAAATAATACTTGATCCACTTTGGAGTCAATAGTGTTCTAGAAAGAATGTAATTTAATTTAAGCTGTCTTCAGAAATCTTGTTAGTTGTAGATGTTGGAGAAAGTTATCTCGTAGATGTAGAATAGACCCTCCTTATCCTTATATTTTCTCCCCCTTCCCATGAGATTTAAAAGATGTTTCCTGATAAGACATCTTTTCAGCTTTTCATAATACTGTCACATCATTTTATTGTCTTCTAGTAAAGGTTGCCATCAAAATTAAGACAAATTCCAAAAAATTATTAATACTTAAATCAGGATAAAGATATATTTCACATCTTGAATGATTCAAAACTTATAAAACATTGTTTGAAATAAATTGTAAGATGTAAGAAGACATTAAAAAATAATTGTTTATTTTTTTTATCATTTACTTTTTGCTAACTGTACTATTTTAATATTTCTATCAAATTAAACATTTATAAAAGTCTTAAATAATTTTTCATACAATTTATGTTATCTTAAATATTGAATGAAATTTGTTTTATTTTTTCATTATTTTATATAGTATTTTAAAATTGATTTAACATTGTTTTTTAATATTTATAAATAAAAAAATTCATATAAAACATTAAAATTTAGTGTTATATTTAATTTGATTCTCAATGAAAAGAGACAATAGATATCAATAGAGATATTGTAGTAATGAGCTTTATGTTGAATTAATTATTGGCTCCCATCTGTATTCAATTTGCAAATCGTACATTCTCTGTCAGATGAACAATGCTGTTTCAAAATTGATTAAAAGTGATTTTATCTCTCCTGACACTTAGAACTTTTCAGTTAAAATTTGTATATGATATTATAAGTTGTTTATGAAATTAATTTTCAGAAATGTGACAAAGATGATGATGAAATGGATCTAAATAAGGAACTTTATTCTATTGGTCATTATATTAATAATAAAGAAGAATTGGTAAACCAGTTATTTAGTGTTATCAAAAGCAATGATTTAAAAGCACTTTTGCCACCATGTTTAAAGGTGAGTTTTATATAGAGTGATATTTTTTAAAGTATATTCAGTAAATTTTGTAAGCAGTAATTTTAATTAATTATTATTTTTATTTAAATATTATTTAAACTTAGAGAATTTAATATAAAATACATTTTAAATATTGATTTATTTTTACTTATATGCTTGTTAATAGATAAATTTTTAATTCATTGCATTACATATTTTTCATTTATAGGATTGATAAATTAGTTTATTTTTTAAATTTTGAACTCTAATACAATAATTATTGTGTGAGAATTTACTTTTAAGGTGTATTTTTATGTAAAGTTTTTTGTTATATTACATAATATTAGTCTAATTCATTTGTTTATTTATTTAAAATTTGATTTTGATAATGCATCCCAAAAAAAATGAGTGTTTTTACAAAAGTTATTTAGATAATATTGTATAGTTGACTTTTTCTACTTATTTATTAATTTTTTGAGAACTAGATTTATTCAAATTATTTATGTAGACTTGTGATGACATATAAAAGTTTTTTTTAGCTTGATTTAAGTTGGAATAAATTGCTTTGATATGTGATTTTCAACATAGCTTCATTATATTTATTATTCATGTTAACCAAGTATATACAATATTTTTTTTAATTGTTCCAATGGTAACAAAAAAGTAAGCAAACAAAAATCTAATCAAATACAAAAAGGAAAGTAATTTTAAAATGATTTAAAAAACACTGTCTATGATCAAGTTAGAATTTTATTTTTATTATTATTGAACCAATTAAACAGTAAAGAAAAAAATATTTTTAACATTTACATTTGTGATGTTTGTTGTTATAATTTAATTAATAAGTTAATTTCTGTTTTTTTAAATTAAATGGTTAAATAAATTGTATTCTTTTAATTAATTAATCTTGTTTAATAATATAAATATTTTAAAATAAATATTATATTTTGAAATTTTGTTAAAAAATATATATAGTTAATAATTCATGAACTACTAATGATTGATTATATACTTTAATTAATGCAAAAAAATCTAACTTAATTATTTAAAAATTAATTTTTAATTTTCTTGTTGATAAATACATTTGTTTGTTAAGTTTTTTTAAAAATTCTGATAGATAGTTATTAAATTGTTAGAAAGAAGAATAGATATTTGATTAAAAGTCTAATTTTAAGTTATATTATTTATTAATGAAAACTTAGTAATTACTGTAGAAATAAAATTTTAGTTTTTAATTATAAAAAAATCTGAATGAATTTAATTGATTTTATTTACAAAAATAATCATTTTTGTTTTCAACATAAACATTTTAATATATTAATTTTGCTAATAATTTACTTAAATTAAAATTATTATACAGTAGGCCTATATTTAGTTATAAATAACTTTTTTTGTTTAAATGATTTCAGAAAATATTTTATTCAATATAATTGAAACAAAATTATTTTAAGTGTTAATCAAATTGTCAATATGAAAAGTGGTTACTTTATTTAAGATTTATTTAAAAATGTAAACATTTTAAAGTTTGATTTAATGAGATTTTATCAATAGATTAAATTTTTTTAAATCTTTAGAATTATTCTGTGTCTGAATTAAAGCATTTATGTCTACATCACCTTCAATTGATGTCACAAAAAAGAATATTAAATATTTTACAAGGTAAGCTTACAGAAAATTTATATTTCCTATGTTGCAAATAAGAAAGATATAAAAAGATGTAATCATACATTTTGTCAATAAGATAAGTTCCAAATTGTCATTTTGATAAATGATGGAAGAGGCAGAAATGAAAATGTGTGTTTAGTTTATATAACTTCTTATTGTAGATCATCTATCGTCATTCCTATTACATTTGGACTATCAAATCTGTTGAAGAAAACATAACTACCTGCTATTCCACAAATTTGAATTTTTAAACTTTGGTATAGAACTTTATTTCAAATAAATTTTTCTTTTGTTAATGCATACTTATTTTTATTTGGTGATTATATATATTTTTTTCTTATAAAAAATAATTATAAAAATTTAGTATATGTTATGAGAAATATTTTTATAATTAGGGACAAGTATATTTTCATCATCAGAAGCAGAAGAAGAAAAACTGATTCAAACAATACCTCAATCTGCATCAAGTACCACTTCACATTGTAAGCATTATTTATTAAGTTTTTTTTCATTTTGAATATGATGATGTATTTCTGTAAATTGGATTTACTTATATGTGCAAAATGTAATATTTAGTTTTTGGTCATTACATTATCCATCTACAATACATAGTTCAAAATTGCATGGTATCTAATGGAGATGTTCTTGATCAACCATGTAATTTTAAGCTTTTTAAATCTGATATCTGCTCAGAGAATAATATGATAATGAGTTAAAGCTTGCAATGCAAAATACACTGAACATCAAATGGCCGGAACTTAGGTGTGTCTTCAATATATTTTTATCATTTGTAAATGGAAGGTTAATGAGATGGCTGTCAAAGTTGATGGCAATTGCTGAAGCAGTTGTGATTAATAGCTTAGAGGTGTAACTTGTCCATGAATATCTTATATGTTTCTCTAAGGAAAAAGATAACTGTTAATGATTTGAATAACAGTAATGTTTATTCTTTATGTCAATAAGAATGCTCAGAATTTAATTTTGTTTCTGAAAAGAATAGTTAATACTATACGAAAAATAATATATAAATTTTTATATAACCAACTACAGTAGTAAATTTATTTTTTAAAGGTTAAAAAATAATAAATTTTTGAGAAATAGTTGAAAATTAATTTGTAAAAATTTATTTATTTATTCATTCTCATAGAGTTGTTGTTAATACATACAGTTATTAGCGTTAAAAAGTATAATTTTTGACTTTAGTAAATAAACAAATATTCAATTGTAGTTGTGTAAGTTACAAGTAAGTATTATTTTATCCGAGTATATTTAAAAATTTCAATAAAAAGTTGTTAATTAAAAAAATTTATTATTAATCTCTTTTAATTTGTTGACATTAATTAAATATAAAAGTAAGATGAATTGGAGAAAAAATTGTGCTCAGATTTATTTTACTAAGTTACTGATATTAAATCTTCAATTATCATTGTCATGTATCATGTCTTAATTGTTGACATTGTAAAAGTAAATTAATGAACAAAACAACTTACTTCATCAAGCCTTGCTGTGGTGCACTGTTACTGACTTGTGTCAGTCTGACTTAATAGTTGATGCTCAAACAAGTCTCTGTTGAAAATCTTTCACAGATGAATTCTGTCACACAAACTTGTACGACCAAAGGCTGTATTATCAGCTTGCAGGTTGGTTGATCACCGAGTGGAGAGCAGAAGCGATGCAGCCGCTATTTTTATCCTCACATTATGGAGGGGGGGATGGAGGAAGAATTGAATTGAACTGAATTGAATTAAATTAAATCAAATCACGAGGCTGCTGTGGAGCAGGTTAGACTAGTTAACAACATTAGAGAGTTTTCAAGGAAACATAGACAGCAAATTACCACCGCACGTTATCTGCATGCACTGAGAGAGAAAATAGAATTAGTCGTATTTTAAATGTGAAGTTTTATGAGATAGTCTCTGAAGGGAGAAATTTAATTGGCTTTCATCTTTAGTCGGGAATGATGATGTGTGCACTGCATAATAAAATTTCCCCCTCCTTTTTCTGTTTTATTGATATATGGCACCTCCAGTGAGTTATGAATGCGATCAAGAAGAAATTATGGTGTTCATAATCCGGTGGCGGGCTAGAAAATTATGTCTGACTAATAACCATTGGTGTGATATAGTGCACGATTGTGGTGTTATTTTAAGTTGCCCTGACGATAAGTTACGACGACGGGAACCGTGTGCTTGATTTAAAGTTTTAAAAGAGTGGTGAGTTGCACTGAATGGGGTGGTTGGTTAATGAGGGACAAATGCATTTAGTAGATAAATGGTTTGCAATGGTCATTTAGAAAATTTCTGCATTTGTGTGGTAAACAGATTACAGAAAGTTGTTTGAGTAGAAAAAATATTTCTGCTGCCTAAATAAATGTTGTTGATCAAGCATCTTCTTCAATATAAATTTGCTTGTTAGTTACAGATTTGCAGTAATTCAAATAATAATGTTATTGCTCATCAATTTTTTATTGTAACTTAGATAAAAAAAATATAAGTAAGGTTTATATTTTTCTGTCTTTTAAAATATTTCATTATTTAAGAAAAATAATTTCTTTTAATATATAAAAATGAAATTGAAATTACTCACTGAACATTATTTAAATTATTTTGAATGTCAGTAGAGGTCATTAATAATTATTGATTTTATATTTATTTTTTAGAAGTCATTTATTTTAAATAGATTTTTCCAAAATTAAAAAACATTTTATCTTTTTAATTAAATTTTTACTTGCATTAAAATCTAATGAAAATCTTAATTTTAATTTAAAAAATGTTTTCCCTGATTTAATAATCAATAATGTTCATGACCTATCTCTCTTGATTTTAACATGAATATGCTACAATAAACTACAGAGGAATGAGTAATCTAGCTAAATAAGACATTGTTATTCTATTTATCTTAAAATGATTGAAATGAAATTGCAAATGATAAATGAAAATTAAATTCAATTTCAAGTTTTGAAAATGTCTTAATAATAGCAATAATGTGTTGACAATAACTTTTTATAAAAGATGTTTAGAGAAATTTCAGAAAAAATTATTTAAATTAGAAACCATTAGCATGAATTTATTTTTATGCCATATATTTTAATGTATGGACAATTGATGTTATTAAAAATATGAATATTAAAAATTTCTATTTTCATTTGTAATATTTATTAATAGAAAATATTTATGAAAGTTTTGAATACATTTTAAAAAAGTTAATATTTTTAGTTAAAGTTTTTGTTTTGTAGTTTTTTTTAATGCTTTCTAAAAAGTTATCTTAACTTTATATATATATTTATATTTTTTTTTGCTCATAGTTTTTTAAATAGTTATTCATGATCTGTTAATTGCCTTATCTGTAGACAGAATAATAACATCAATTTATAGCTGAATTTATTGATTTTTTCATTCCCCTATTATCTTAGTAAGGCATGGAACAGTGTGTAAAATTTATATCATGAGTTATCATTTTGCTTGACTTGGATCAATAGAGATTACTCATTCAGATGAGGGATATCCAAATCAGCTAGACTATAATTGAAAACTGATGATATCTGGCATTTTATGTTGAACATTTATGTTATTAAATGTTTCTGAGTTAGTAAATATTTATTATATGTTGTAAACTTTAAAAAAATAAGAGATTTTAATAAAATTAAAAACAATGTAATTCTCCATAATAGTTATATTCTTAGTTTTAAACTTATATTTTATTGTACAATACTTTTTTACATTTTAACTTTACTTTATTGTAATTTCATCTTGGTACAAAATTATTCTAAATTCAAAGCTTTAATTATTTTAATCAATCATGATAAAAGTAAATTTTAACTTTATGTAAACTAAAAATAAAATGTTAGATAAATTAAGAAAAATAGGTTTTATGTTTATCTAATATTTAGTAGGAAATTTAATTTTCACTAGCAGAAAATGAAATGAAAATTGAAATTTATTTAAAAATATGATCATTTGTTAAGCTCTGGTTACTCTCAGATAATGTTGTCTAAAATTTCCTTTCTCCTTCTGATCAATTCAGCTTACAAAACGAGTAAGGTGGTGATGTGTATAATTGAATATACTCTAATTGACATAAACCAGCAACTGTAGTTAGCATTGTTTCTTCTACAGATAAACAACATTTATTACTACAAATGTTTTCTGGTTAGTTTTTAATTGCCCAGACAACATTATATATTTCAATATTCATTTACATTGCTGTAATTTGTTAAAGGCAAGTTTTTGCAAATAATCCCAAAGGTAAAACAGAACTATAATTAGAAATGGGAAAACAATATGTAAACTTAATTTCTTCATCTAATATATACAACTGAAAGTTTGAATATATCATCTGCTAATTGTTTATTTTAATAAAAGTCACTATATAGAATAAACATATGTACTTTCAACTTTGTTTATTAGTTGTCATATTTAATATGGGATTACAAAACAGGATACTTTTATAATTAAAATGATAAAGTGTATTAAGTTGTAATAATATTAGGTAGAACTTATTTTCATACAACTTTTACATTTTCAGAGAGTGCTTTTCCTAGTAGATTTAGAATATAATAATTACATTATAATTGCTGTATTAAATGCTCTGTAATCAAATAATAAAAATTTTCATGCATTAGTTGTAATTTGGAAAATAATTTTATTTTTCTTCATAGGTTGTTCTTTCTATATATAAAAGTTTAAAGTAACCATATTAATTTGATTATATAAAATTTTAAGGTGATCAGACAGAAACTACTAGAGGGATAAAAAGGTTAGCATCTCATTTTGAAGACAAGCAGCAAGCAGATTCTACTTCTATTGATTTACCAGAAATTCCCACAAAAAAGTATGTATTTTAAGTTTTTTGATTGATTAATTATAGTAAATAAACAATGTTAAGCAATAAGTTAAATCTTACAAACAGAAATTACACTACATGTCTTATTACTTGTTATTTTGCAATTAATGTTTATTACAAGTATATAAAATTTATCATATTTATTCAACAAATAGTTATCACTGCTTTCTAGAATATCTTAAACTAAATGCATTTTTTTTTTAATTATTTAACAATTAAATTTATAAATTGACTATGTTTGATTCACTTTTGTGAGAAGAACTTGTGTACTTCATTTATATGATAACATATATATAAATGAAATACACAAGTTCTTCTCACAAATGATATATATATTCTATTTAGACTGAAATGTATACATATACACTATTAGAATGTGTGATCCTTTTAATAAAGTAGAACTTATCATTTACTAATCATTTACTATTTAATCAATTCTTTTCTTTATTTTCAATTTATAAGATTTATTATTATTATTTTTTAAATATCATTTTTAAATTATTCAGTATGTAACTTCTTTTATACTATGCTTATTTTTAAACTTTTGCACTTTTAAAAACCGTTTTACAAATTTTGATGATTTAAAAAAATTAAAATTTTGAAATGTAATTGATTAAAATGTATTTTAATAAATCAAATTATATTCAGAATAAAAAAGAATTTGAATAACAAGAAAATGATTAAAAATAGATTTTAATGTGAACTATACTAATGAAGATTTAATAAATTTTTATAGAATATTCATTTATTTTGATGTTGAGGAGATAGATACTAGAAATGTTTAACAAATAGCTGATACATTATTTACGAGAAAATCATCAATTAGAATGTTTTTTCTTGATCATAAAGGTTTTGTATATTGACTTTTCTGCTCCAAAGTTTTCATCAGATACATTAAAAATTGCTGTAGATTTGTTTGCTGCTAATAAAAATTTTATAATGATAGTCATCATTTTAAAGATATTAAAATTTGCAAAAATTTAGAGTATAACTTATTTGATTAGTTTTATATATTAATCAGTTGTCTTATTAATACAAAACATGAAGTTTTATGATAATATGAAATGATAAAATTTATATACTTTAGTGATGTTTTTGATATTTAGTAAGAGAAGTTTAATTTTTAATTATTTCTTCTACTGAAGAATACTGATGTAAATTATTAAAATTTGTCTTATTTATTATAAATTTTGAACAATACAAAACAATGGAGAATGTTTTGCTTATATATAGAATATTACAAGATAATTTAACCAAATGTCTTTTTGTGAAATCATTGTTTTGCAGAAGTTTTTTACTATGTCATCACTTGGAAACAGATTTGGAATATGATGACAAAAATGAGCTGAATACAATAATTTTAATAATAAATTTATAGCTTTTTTATTTGGCATTTTGTAATCAAAACACTTTCTCCAATTTTAAAGTCATTCTTCATTTATTTTTATGCAAAAAATTTCATCAAGATCATAAAATTGTGTTACAGATTCAAAACATTAAGTATTGTACCTGTTTGATATTTATTATGTAGAATTTGAAATATCTGCTTAGGAAGTTACTGTAGAGACTAATAAGCACATTTATTTAGTCATTAATTGATCCTTCTTTGCCTAAATTATATTAACATATTATTGAATATTATATTATTATGCATGTTTCATTTGACTATATGTAAGTAATTTATTGGAAATGTCTAGAAACAATTAACTGAAAAATAAAAATATTTATTGACTTTTGGAATAATATTTATAGCAGATAATATATATAATGCATTCTTCTGTTTTATATTTTTCAATCTGTCATTTTGTTATAACATGATTTACAATTTTATTATTGTGCTAAACAAAGCTAACTTTTTAAATGGAATTTTAAAATAGTTTCACTAGACATATTTTAAATATTTCTTTTTGTTTCACTAGACATATTTTAAATATATTCTTTTTGTTTCACTAGACATATTTTAAATAATAGTTTCACTAGACATATTTTAAATATTTCTTTTTGTTTTTCTTTATTTTCAATGGCATAATTCCATTAGAAATGTTAATTTGTTAAACATAATTACAGTCAACATTTTAAAGTGTACTATTTAATTATTTTATATATTTTTAGGATTATTATTATCATCAATAATTTATAAATAATGAGCAAAGATTATATTTTATTCTGAGAGATAAATGTACTCAGGGCAGTTAAAATTTATATGTGGAGTGAATTTCATACATAAATTTTGATTGTATGTGCAAATTAAGACTTTTTATCCTATAGAATTATATTAAAATTCTAAAAGTATTTAGTGAACAAATAGATAATTATCATTGTAACAACTTTTTGTATTATTTACGTTTTGATTATGTAGATAAATTAATATTTTTTTATTTAATTTGTTTCTTAACATACAACTTATCAAATTTTTTAAATATTAAAATAAAAAGTTTTTGTGTAATGTTATTGGGATTTCTTAATTCTATATTTAGAATTAAACAATAGCTTTAAACATGAAAACTTTGATATAGAACAAACTATGTTTTTACAATCAATGCCATCATAAATATAAACTATAAAAGATTTTTTAAAGTAAAAAACACACAAATATGCTGTTTGTGTTAAATCAAACTTTTCACTTTGAAAGTTGCTTAGTTCTGAAGATGTATTTAAGAAATTCTAAAAAAATCAGTTAAAAATAAATAAATTTTTTTACATTTAAAGTTGGATAAATTGTGTATAGATAATTTAAATTTAATGACATTTTTATAATTAATATATATAAAATAAAATTAAATATTTAACAAAAATTTGTATAAAATGTTAGTGGAAGTTATTTATAAGTAAAAACATCATTGTAGTTTGATTTAGATTTAAGTGTCTTGATTTCTTCATTTAATAATCAAAATCATAAACTTTATTTTTATAAAAATGATATTAAACTACAATTTTACAACTAAAAGTTTGAAAGAACTATTAAAGACAGTTCTGTACTTTTAATTTTTGTTTTTTTTTATTCTGTGTGCAGATGGAGTGTATTATATTAATTTTTAATTCCAACTATTTACTAATAATAATACATTTTTTCCTACTATTAATTCAAAATTGCATGAAATAATACTATGTAAATTAAAACTATATCATATTTTGTTTAGAGGATTGTTGAATTAAAAGTTTGAGTCTGAAAATTCTTTCTTAACAAATTATCATGAAAAGTTTTAAAACGTTTTTATATAAATAATTAATTCCAAACTGTGTTATGTATGCTTGATATAACTTTCATTTACTAAAAATTTTAAACAAATGAATAATGAATTTATACATAAATTTTCTTACTGAAGTCTTAATTGTAAAATAAACTAATCAACTCTTTAATTTTTAATGAAATTATTGCTTTATTTATAATTCTTTTTTATTTTTGTGGAAAACACATTTTTAATCAGTCATAAATATTTTTATACTTATAAACTTTCTTTTATGTTGAAATTTTTAATACATTATTACATTTCACTTGATTGTAGTATGATTTTTCTAAGATTTATTAGAAATGAATTAAAAACGTTAATTCAATAACAAAATTTTTCTTTTGTGTACTGAAAAAATTTTCAATTCATTTTAATTCATTTTTCATCTTTTCAAGTCTAAACATAAACATTAATGATTGTCAGATAGAACATTTGAATTTGAAAATTTCACATGAATTATGCTTATTAGTGAAAAACAAACATTAATTTAATTATATATAAATATAACTTCAGTATTCCTTCAGAGATATGAAACTTTTGGAATTAAATGTCTTTTCTTTTTATTGTGCTTATTAAAGTTCTGTATAATAATCAAAAAATGAATACAGTGGAGCGTCGATTATCCAAATCAATTGGGGACTGGGGTTGTTCGGAAGATCGATGTTTCGGATAACTGATTATGTATGAAAAAATATATTAATTTAACCCATCTTGACATTTTTCTCTGTTGCGTGTTGCTTTTCGTTGAATTTTTGTCGATGTTAAGCCTAACGAAGATTATTGTATCGTTAATTTAAAAATGATTTTTTTTATTTTGTACGAACAAAATAAATATATTGAAAAATATAAAAACAATAAAAAATTATACTTCAGAAGTTAATTTAGTATCAAAAATGTAAAATATTTGAGTAGCCCAAGACATAGCCAAAGATTGCAGTGCCACAGCACTGGTGAAAATTTAAATTTGCCAACTGGAATTCTTACGGATAATTGACGCTCTACTGTACTAATATTTAAATAAATTTTGTATGAAAGAAAATATTTTATTGTTGAATTGTTTTAAAGAAACAAGCAATCAAGAATACTGTAGTTTTGCAGTGATTACTTTTTTAATGAGTGTTAATGTTAAGTTATATCTTTCCTTAGTCTTTGTAGACTACAAAGTGTTCAGTTTATGTAAAATTTTATTTTTACAAATGTGAAGTATTTAAATATAACATTAGAATAACTTGATCATTTTTAATTATCATTATTGTTAACTAAATTATATTTGTATTTTTTGTAAAATCTTTTGTTTTCTAATTTATTAAAGATGTTAATATATTTTAGATTAAAGAAAATTTTTTAAAATATGACAGACAGAATATTCTATACAGTTAATTCATTTAATATTCCAATTAATTACTCATTCAATACATTTATTGGATAAACTTTTTAATCAATTAAAATATGTTTCTAATTTAAATTTATTATGACAGCATAAAATTAAAATTAGTTTTTCAAAAATATTTTTGCAGCATAATTTATTTAGGAAATGGCTTTTTAATATTTTAATGATAAAAAGTATAAATTATACTAAATATTTGAAGTTGTTAATTGATATGATACAAAAAATACAGTACTAAATTGCATGAATGTAGAACTTGAACTTTTCTATTCTCTTTAGTAGTACTAAAAAGTATTGAAATAAACATCTTCATAATTTATGTAGTTGAAACTTGAAACCATTTGCCATTTGGGATTGTTCTTGGATCTATT